GTTTTAGTATTTGAGGAGGGAGAATATTAAACATCAAGAGGCAAGTTTTCTCTACTATTAAAATCCTTTTCCCCGTTGAAGCCTCTTCGGGCCTGATTTTTTTCATGCATATACACAAGGACAGTAGGACAGAAAGGAATCTTAGAGAATTGATCTCCAATTTGTTTGACAAACCCACTTATTTTCCTGTTCATCCTGTTTTGCAACTCATCGTTCTGCTCTCAAAATAAAATTAAAACTAATTTTGTTCTGATAAGTTTATGTGGACTTCATAAAAACTGAAAAAATGCTAAGGACACCTCGGGGTATCTAAAACCATTAGCACTAAATTCACTCAAAATGCGGCTATAGGATGTGGTCCCTTAGTTCCAGCCCTACTACTAAGGATGACTAAAGGATGGCTAATTATTCAGGCAAAACTCCACCAAGTTAGCGCCCAAGCTCTGTCACATTGAACATCAAGGAGTCTGAATGCTACCATCCACAGAGGGCATAAATGGACCCACACCAGGCTGAGGCTAGAACAAGTTTGAGTAGAAGACACTTCTTACTGGAGTTAAGCTCTAGAGGGACAAAAAGCATAGAGTCCAGGAAACAGTGAAATTTAAACCCAAGTCCAAAGACCAGGCTAATCAAAGAGGCAAGGAAATCAGAAGTACAGAGATAGAAAGAGCCCAAAAGGAAATTAGATTGGATTAGGTAATAAAAGGTTGCCAAGCCCACCAAGTCAAGGGAGAAACCTGGATAAAATACCAGGTTTAGCTTAAGATGGATTCTGATCACACTGCATCTAATTTCAAATCAGTCCTTGCTGGAGAGCCAGAATCCACCCCACCCCCACCCCCACCCCCACAAACACTGAGGACAAAGATGCTCTCTAGTGTTTTGGGAATTCCAAGGTAATTTCCATAAGCCATGATGGGGTTTGTTTCCTGAGGACAAGCAAGGCCCTGATATCTGAATGGGATAGACCATAGCCATGAGGATTCTAGAAAGATGGTGATTTGACCACCCAATGTTTCCCTAGTACCTTCAGATCTTTATTTCCAGAACAAAGGAGCTATTGGCACCTGCAGGCACCAGGATGGATCTCACAGAAGCATCTGGGACTCGCTCTGAAATAGGCAGAAGGAACTTTCGGGACCGTGGACCTGAGGGGAGCCAGGGATCCAGCTGCAGAGTGGCCAGGTCAGGACCCACAGGTTTTAGAACTTGGTGAGCATGGACACCCTGCTCCTACACTACAGGTCTCAGCGTGAGGAGGTCCATGTCCATCCTGAGTGAGGACCCTGCACTGCTCGGCACCAAAGGACAAGTCATCTGAGTCCTCTCTCCTCCTAAGCTTGGAAGGAAGACAGGAGATCCCACCCAGAGTTCAGCTGTGATACTGTCCTACAGGAGTACAGAGCCTTCAGCCTTTCTGCATAATACCTCACTTCAGGTTCTCCCACAACCACACCTGAGCCCCAGTAGGGAAACAAATAAAAATCTAAATCCATCCGGTAGCACATGGACACGTGTTCATGTTGAACAACACAGTCCTGACCTTTAGGAGCTTAAAATTGGAGGGTGGGGGTGGAAAAGAGCTACATCAAAAGTTGTTTGGTTCTGTCAATTCTAAAAATAACCCATCCTGAAAAAATGACCCTCTTTTGCAAGGAGCAGGTAGTTTTTCACAGCCAGTTCTATAAGAAATGGTCCTTTTGTCTTTTTTGTTCTATGTTTTCTGGGAAAAATTTTAAATTTGATTAAGTAAAGGGATAAAACCAAGGAAGATTTCCTCTATGATTACTCCTTACTTTTATGGTGTCAGGCATAACTATAAAGAAAGGAATCTGGTCTCATATAAAGGCAACAGAAATTTATACTTCCAAATGAACATGATTAGACAGCTCATAAATAACACGTCTTTCTTCCTTACCTAGAGATTAAAACCTTGTGAAAGAGATTCACAAGGAGTCATATAGATAGAACTGAAAGAATCACCAATACTATTGACCGTGAGGTTTTGAATCTGTGGCCAAGAGCCTTCCTAATATTTGATCTCTAAATGAATCAGACCCACCCATATAGACTTCCCCAGTAGGCAGGACAAGCAATCGGCAGACTGACAAATCTAAAAGCAGAGACCAGAAGAAGCTAAGCCACCCAGGCCCATTCATTTTCAGGATTCAGTTATTCTGGTGCCTGATACAAAATAGCAGAGAGAGAATGGCCTGCAACGTTAATGTAAAGGATAGCCCTCCACGCAGGTGCAGACAGCCAGAGGAAAATGCTTCTTCCGCTCCAACCTAATAACCATTTCCTTCGAGTGGACCCCTTGGGACATAGTCTCTTTTCGCAGTGCTGCCATCCTTCAGAACACTTTTGAGTTCCTCTCTAGGAATCCTATTCAGAGCCGGCCGCTCATTCTTTGAATCCCTTTGGTTACAGCAAAGTTTCATCTCCAAGCATGAAATAGTCCAGAATCCTCAGAGCAAAGCAGGGAGAAACCTTTTCAGTCAATACGAAAGTGACAGTGGAAAAATGAATGTGGTTTTCTTGTGTGAGGTATAAACTGATGCTGAAGTTTGATCAATGGTTTTAACCTAATGGTGGCATCCTGGGACTGAAGGTATGGCTGCTTTCTGAAGCAAAAAATGGGGACATCTGAGCTGACAGATTGTTTAAGCCACTTCCAAAGATAAGAGGCCATCTTGAAAATACAATTGAGCTGCAAAAACATGGAGCTTTCTGGCATATTTCAATTGTTTGTGAACAAACAAAAAAATGAAACTTTGATGAAAAATCTTTGCATCAACAATTCTAAACATACAACTGTGTTTCCAAAGAGGACAGCTTTTGTTTCACAAAATTCTGGTCTATTTGTAAAAAGAATTATCCTGACTGTGTCGTGGTGAAACTTCAAACGTGAATGGTGATGGTGCCTCTATCTGAAGCCAGCACCGCCCTGACAACTCCACTGTTACAGAAAGGACGACACGGCAAATGAGTAAGCCGTTCTTAACCACACTTTGGTTTTATAAGAGGGATTGATTATATTTTCTACTATATTTATAATCTCCATTGCTTTGCAATTCATCTGTGAGACCACTTTCACAAGGCTAGAAACTAGTAAAAGGAATTCAAAAGGTGGGTAGGAAACGTAGATGAGGGGTTAAAATGCTCCTGAAAGTCAAACCCAAGAGCCAAAAGTAGGTGCTGGAATGACATTTTAAAAACCCTCCTGGTTAGAGAGGTTTCGCCCCCTCCTGGCAGAGAGGAAAAAACCCTGCACAGGGAATCAGAGGGACCGAGGAAGAGGGACTGAGCAGCGGGGGAAAGCAGGCTGAACAGAGTTTTAAATGATCAGAGAGAAATGTAGTTGTTTCCTTCAGCGTCCTCATAAGGAGGACAAGGAGGAGAAGAGGAAGGGGAGTAAGGCGGAAGCACAGACAAGTGACACTCCTATCATGTAGGCCTTAAGACAGCTCAGGAAATGAGAGACTCACTCCTGTCCCAGAATAGTGACGCTTAGGCCATCACTCCCTGGCTTAGTGGATCCCATCTGCATTGTGTGGGGAAGGAACACAGAGGTCCCCAGAGCCACATTACCATAACACACCGCTCTTCTACGGTGTCCTGGAGGACTCCCACTAGAACGTCAGACTGTTCGCCCTCTGCTCTAAAAGATATTTTGACTGCTGTCCGGAAGACAGGAACAGCTGGGCTGTTAAAGTCAACAGGCTCCCACTTCCACACCGACCAGATTGTGTCATAATTGGAAATGTAAAATATGCCTTCCGCTGCTTCCACTCTCAAGTCTGGGGGAGGTCTGTTTGTTTCTTCCAAACCTCTGAAAGGGCCAGTCCCAGTTTCCAGGAAATGCCTAGGTCATGTAGGTGAGAAGCAGGTCAGTGGTCCCTGCTGGTCCATATAAGATCTGTGGCTCAGTGGCTCTGGCAAAGGGGAATGGAAGGAGACAAGAGGATACAGGACATTAAAACGGGCCACATCAGCTGAAGCAGTGTCATAGGAAATGTCCTTGCCAGTCCCCTCCCTGACTGAAAATCTGGTCCTTTCTTGGCTCAAATTCAGTTTATTCCCTGAGGCATTGCTAGCTTCCTCAAGACTCCCCCAAATCCTCATAACACCAGCACGTGCACAGTGGCATTCCCTGTGGGTCTCCCATGGGCTTAAGCCCTCTTTCCTGAAGCTGCTTTTTCTTCCTTGTCCTTCAGTCTCTGTCTCTTTCAATGTTCTTACTGAAGTTCTTACTGCTCCTCACTTTCTCACCGCCTGCCCCACTCACTTCCCAGTATCCCCCTGAGATCTTGTAATTTGCTCAGGCAAGTTACTATCTTTAAAGATGGATCCTCCCTGCCCCAGTTTCTGCTGCTGATTTGTGTCTGGGGTCTCAGGGTCCATGTTGGGGAGGAAAGGTCTTAAGGTTCCAAATTTCCAGTGTGCAACCTTATCATTCCCCATATTCAAAACCCACCACCAGGCTACCAAAGAAACTCCTGTTACTATAATTATTTTACCACAGTTATACCTTCCTAACCTAAAAGGTGAGTATCTCCTTGGCTTGTTTTAGAGGTAAGATGAAGAGTAAGGGAATGATCTTGCTACCCAAACAAGTTCATTCTTTTCTCCCCATGAAGAGTGCATATTCTATTTGTATGCTCTGCAAGACTTAGCACAGGTCCAGACACACATACCAGTTTAGGATTTAGCTAAGCCACATAGCCAGGAATCAGGCCTGCCACACTCCAGACTCCAACATTCCCTTGTCCTGCAGTCCCCCTGCCCCAGTGTCACATTCCCAGTATGCTCACCAGAAGATCCAGGGGTGGGGTGGGAACAATTAAGACACTACTGGGTCTAAGGTTGGGAGAGTAGAGGTATTGAAAGCCAGCAGAGGCTGCACACCCTGCCCAGTGTACATGGCCTCGTGGAGAGTTCCTAGGCTCTCAGGCAAAGATGTGGGTTCCACAGCCGTTTAACAGCAATGTTATCAACAGCTCTTTGCCACGGCATCTGACCTCCAGCCAGCCCCAGCCTGTGGCCAGGAAGAAGGTAAGGAATACCAGTCCCAGAGCTCTACTTGATAATAATTTGGCTGAGAATAAGGACAGGAAACATTAATAATTTATATTTATTTTTATTAAAAAGACAGACGTATGTCATAAAGTTAGTACAACTAGCTGGAGTCCCACATCCAGGATGACCTTGGACTCTAGACCAGCAGACAGACGCTCTTGTGCATTTGTTAGCGTCACAACTCTTTTCTTCCCCCCTCGGTTAAGTTTTATGCAGAATCGCAATGCAGAAAGCCGGTGAAAGTGATGGCAGTATCAGTATTGTGCCACTGGCCCATTGCCTTGGTCTCCCCCTCGTTCCTTGCCAACTCCCTTTCTCCCACGAACTAACATCCAGCCCCTGGGGCCCCTGGTGCAGAGCATCTGCAAATGCCTGCAGCAGGGTAAAAGAGAGGCAGGAAAGTTGAACAGCAAATTTGTTCTCTACAAGGCCCCTTGAAGTGAGCTACTTTCTTTTTTAGAGTAAATAATGGGCCTAGGGATCAGAATGAAGGCTGACAAGGAACCTGTCAACATTTCCAACATCTACAGTCTTTAAATATTCAAACACCAAGATGTTGAAGGATCTTTGACTCTCCTCTTCAATTTCTTTCCTCCGAATGTCAACAAACATTGCTTTTGTTGACTGAAGAGTATGGCCTCGCCTTTCCTGATGAAATAAAAAAGAAGTGGTGCGAGAAAGGTGATAAGAAAAGTTAGGATAAAGGCTGAGGATGCTTAAGGCTGATCTGAAGGAGAGACCCTGAGCTTAGGGAAGGAGATGGAAGTACAAGGCCTAGGAAGATAACAGCCCCATGACAGTCACATGCCAGCCTCTTCCATTTTACAGAGAAGGAAACTAAAGCCCCAAGCAGTGAACAGAGTTAGGTTAGATCCAAAAACCAAGTTTAACAAGAACAATAATAAAACAAGAGCTCACAGTTTCTGGTGCATGAACTAAAACTCTTAATTATGGTTTCCTTAAAATAAAGGAGTGTGTCACTGAGGATAAAGGATGTACAGATATGATTCAGTCCAAAGTAAACATTTCAGGAAGCCCTACTGTGTGTCCTTCACTGTCCTGGGTGTTGGAGAGTAGAAAGTAACAAGGCACAGTTCCCGACGTCAAGGAGTCCACACATAGAAAAGTACCAAGTGCAACCCCAATGACATAACCTCATTAATATGTGTGTTGCCATGGGGATGATGGCAGGACCAGATACATGACTTGTGGGCCTTGGTACAACATAAAAATGCAGATGTGTTGTTCAAAAATGGCTGAGATATTTTTAAACAAGGGCAGAACATGAAATCAAATGCAGAGCCCTTCTGAGCACAGGGCAACTGTACAGGTCACACGTCCTTGAAGACTGCCACTCTGGATGTCAGACGCCAGCTCACAGCAGAAGGGCTGCTATACCCACATCCGAAAAGACACGAGATCATCCACAGAAGGAGAGGAAGAGTTTCCCAGGAAATGATTGGTCTAAAGACACTGTGAGGTGGAAGTAAACAGCATATTTGAGAAATGGAAGCAAGTTCAGTGAGGCCAGGGAATGAGATATGAGTGGGAGAGTAGCAAGAAATGAGCTGGCAGGGAGGCATGCCCCAGCATCAGGTTCTTTTAGACCTTCCTAGACAGTTATGGTACAAATATTGGTGAGTTACTGAAGCTGCCCAGGGATGTGATCTAATGGGTAATTTAGAAGAGAAACCTGTGCAGCAAGGGGAGAGTGGATCAGAGGAGACTGAGCCTGGAACTAGACTCAACTTAGGAGGTCACTGTAAATAGTCCAGGGAGTCACAGGGGGCATCCAAATATTTAGGGAAGAGTGCTTAGCTGGCAGTAGAGACTCAGGACTCATCCCCGCACAGGAGCAATTGAAGTCTGGGGAGTGGACATAGGCACCTTGATGGAGAATGAGAGTGAGAACTAAAAATATAGATGGGTGGGGAAAGAAAGAGACTTTGAAGGAGGGGTGTTGAAGGGCAGAGGACTTGTAAATCCTGAGCTCAGGATGAGGACTATATATCATAACTGACGGAACAAGAGAAGGTAATGTTCAAAGACATAAACATGGTCAGTAATGGGTTTAGGGCAATGGCAGCAAGAGAAACGTGGAGACAACAGAGGACACTGTCTCCAGCTGTGCCACAGCAGGTCCCCAAGGGGCCACAGCAGCCTACATCACTGGTTTTCCTAGTGCTAACGTGAAGAAGCTCCCTGCTATAGTATGAATGTTTATGTCCTCCCAAATTCAAAATCCTCACCAACAACACATGCTGTCAGGAGATGGGGTTTGGGAGGCGATTCAGGAGAGGGGCTTCCCTCCTGGAAGGTTTCTCTCCCATGAATTAAATTGGTACACTTATAGGAGAGGCCCCAGAGAGTCAGCTTTCCCCTTCTATGATGTGAAGACAGAGAAGAAGATGCCATCTACACACCCAGCAAAAAGACTTTCACCAGACACCAGACTTTCATCAGCCTGTGCCTTGGTCTTGGTCTTGGTCTTGCCTTGCCTTGGTCTTCATAGCCTCCACAACTATGAGAAATAATTTTCTGCCATTCATAAACCATCTAGTCCATAATATTTTGTTACAGCAGCCTGAATGGATGGACTCAGACCCACCCCCTTCCACTTACTTCCTCATGGCTGCCACATTTCCCAACAGAAACTGTTAGAACAACATCTGACTCAGGGTATGGTCACAGTCCCTCATCCTCACAGTCGGTCTCCCCCTTACCAGCCACAGAAGGGCCTCCGTGACCACCCAAGCTATTTGCACTAAGGTTATACTCCTCCCACCCACCTTGAAACTCTCTCCTGAGGCCCCAGGCAGGAAGACCTCCTCCCCTCTGCTTGACAGCACTTGCCCAGTGTGGCAATGCCTTTCTTTTCATTACATATCCAGAATGATAAGTAGTAGCTCATTTATCTTAGGCTTTGGTACAATTTCCTATAAGGACTGACTCAGGAGTCCATGATCCAGGCCCACACTGCATCACAAGTAAAGACCCCTTGCTCCCTTGGCCTTTAAGCACATGGTCTAGGAAATGAAGGGTCCAACTTGGAGCTCCCTTTTACTGAGTTCCTACTGTGAGCCAAGTGTTTTTACACTAATATCTCCTTTCCTTCTCAATGCAATCCACGAGGTAATTACTAACTGGTGTATTAGTTAGCTTTCCCATCGCAGAGACACAATAGCTGAAATACAATGTAATGAGGGAAGGTTTGATTTAGTTCATAGCTTCAGGAGATTCGGGATATGGTAAGAAAGCTCCAAGCAGAGATTTCCTGACAAAAGGGTGGCAAACAAAGCTTCTGAGAAGCAGAGCAGGGGAACAGTGCTAGACCAGAGATCAGATTTAGTACCCAAAGTCACACCTCCACGACCCACCCATGCACACCCAGAGCTGTGCTTTACTAACTTTCTGGGCATGTCTTAATCCAGTGAAGATGACATATCAGTATTAATGCTCAAAATGAGTATCGTTCTATTTCCCAGGGAAGGTAACCAGAGCAGCCAAAGGTTGTATAGTGATACAGAAAGTGCTCAAATCCTCCTTATTGTCTGGGTTAAGAGGCCTTTACACAGTCTTTTGTACATTTTGATAATGTTTCTGGCCTTGTATATCCCCAAAGATAGCAGAGTGAAAATAAAAATAAAAACAGACCCCTCTTTTCAGGCTTGGCTTCACATCAACTAGCTACCAAACAGAAAGGAATATTGGGCCAAGGTGGTCATAATAGAAGCATCCTGCAGAGGACCCTCCTGATCCTGAACAGCTGGAGGATATTTGTGGCCCAGGAAGCTCCCTGCTGTTCTCTGAGTGCACACACACACACACACACACACACTTACTTCTTTGATTAGTAAAACCCACTCCCTGCACAGACACAAACCACAAAAACAACCCACATCAGACTTAGAAATGCAACCAGCAGTCCACACCGATTGATTGATTCTGGCCTGTTTACAGCTGGCATTGCTCCTGATTTGGCCTCCTTCCTTTATGACTAGCAGATGCCTGTGCCATATCTGTTGGTTCAATATTTTTTATACCTTCCCTGATTCTGAAGAAAATGGAGCTCAGACAGCTTAAATAATATTCTGGTAGAGCTTCCACCATCAGACGGCAGAGCCAGGTTCATAACCAAGTCTGTCCAACTCCGCTGCCCAGTGCTCTTAGGTCCAGTGCTCCATACATCATGACTCTCTCTGCCACTGGGTCCAATGGCTTTCTATGCAGATAGGATGCCTAGTGGCTACTCACATGCACTGGCTTGCCTGTGACAGAAATGCACAGTCAACCCCTTTTGGAAGCATGGCTATCCAATAAGGAAAAATTTCCAGGGAAAGACAAATGGTTAATCCCATTTTAGCAAATCTCATAAATTTCAGAGAAACCATCTACTTGGATGAAAGATTCAGGGCTCTTTTCATCCTCTGAACTGGATTACTGATTACTGGGAAATGGCCGTAAACAAACATGCTTTCTTATTCCAAACATTATTGACACTGTTGAGCAGCAGGTGACCCTTATGATCTTAGGACAGTGGACCTGACTAAATACTATCCAAATAAGAGAGACACCAACTGAAACAGGGACACATAGCCAAGACGCAATTCTCCTGAGAAACAATGCACAGGAAGTAATAAACAAGCCATAGGTGTCAAGCAGCAGCACTGCCCTGCAGAGCCACGCTGCAGACGGGATGGGAATCCTGGAAGCGGGGCTGCCCACACTGATGAGCTTCCTGCCTCACTAGGGCAGTGGTTCTCAACATGTGCCCCTGCCAGCAGCCACAGCACCGGTTGGAAACCTGTGAGAAGGACAAATGCTCCGGCCCCACTCCAGGATGGTAGATTTAATGATGGGGGGATGTTGGTTTTATTAAAATTAATTAATTTACATAGTAATATGTTCAATATTAATGGATCCATGCTTTAGCAAGCCCTCCTTTTGATCCTTATGTATAACAAAACTCAAAACCAGCTCTCTAAAATTTCACAAAGAATCAACACAGTATTGGTCAAATCTGTCCCTGGAACTAAGAGAAATTAGGAACAGTAGGCCTTTAAAAAGAAGTATTTCTGAGTAGGTGGTGATGTGAGAAAAATATCACTTTTTTTTTTTCGTACCGGGGGTACAACGCAGGACCTGGAGCTTGTGAGGCAGGTGCGGTTGCCACTGAGCTAAATCCCTGGCCCCAAAAAATCAACATTAGATGAGACAAAGCATGAATTAGGTCCCAGGTCAGCTTAACATTTCCAAGAATCAGTTTCATTTTCTGTAAAAGGAGACAATAATACCCGGCAGGGTGTCTAGAATGTAGAAGATGTTAAAACAAGAGTAACTGTTACACTGATGCTTTGCATCAATCAGCAACTGGTTATGACATTCAAGAGCCACTGAGCACCTGCCCCTCCCGCGGGGAGACAGTGGGAACATCCACACAGGCGAGGATCGGGAGGGCTGGGCCTCACTGCTCTCCACATGAGCTCGGGGACAGGGGGATGGGGTGCTCTGAATCCGACAGGCACAGTTGGGGAGCAACAGAAACAGAGCCCGGCACCAGCTCTCTGCGGACAGTGTCTTCACAGAAAGGCTGCCTCACGTCTTCACAGTAAAGCTCCCTTTTGAAACTACTCCTTTGAGAAACCTCAAGTGTCACACTGCCATGCACTGCAAAACTAATCAAGACTTCTAAGCGCGAGCCTTCTGTCATCAGAGCAGAGCAGGTCGACATGAAAACTCAGTCAATGCCCGGGGCCCACCAGAGAAGGGACGGAGGAAAGGAGAAGCACAGCATCCAAGGGTGAACACCAGGCACCCAGCGAGAGTGTAGCGATCGGCGAGTGTAACTCGCAGCACAGCTTCTGCTCTCTAGTGGGTGTGAGACATGACCCTTGCCGTCAGTGCTGCTGCCTTATTACCTTAGACTTCACTTCTTCAAACAACTTCCAGGGCAAGTAGACAGGCTGGGGTGTCCACAAGACGCTCCAGCACCTGCCACACGTCACCTATGTGCTTGTACCCCTCCACTACTGAAAGGTAATTCTCTGAGGTTTGGGTCCATTGTCCCGTTCACCCTGTGCTCGGCATATGGCAGCCTAAACTCCAGCCTGACAGTTGGTCATTAGGCAGGATGTTCTTGAAGGAGCTTACGCATGAAAAGAATGATGGTCTAATGGGACTGAGGAACCACTGCATTATTAGCTGGGCCAGTATCAAATCATCTACCTCAGGCAGAGCTAAGTAGGACAGGCAAGTAGAACTTCTTGGTTCTCTCAAGTTTGAAACCAGACCTTGGGGTGCTTATCACCTCTGGCTAATTCTTAAAGGAAAGAAACCCAAAATTCTGATGAGAGTCCCTAAGAGAGATAGAGAAGGGAGGAAGAAGGAGGAGGTGAGGATGCTTTTCCTCCAAATCCTCTTGCTCTTTCTCAACACTTTCAGTGTAGATTAGCTTAACCTCTGTCTCAACAAACAAAAATCCTATCCATTTGGAAGGAAGGTGAGGAAAAATTAGGGTGGAAGGCAAGATTATTTTTGATGGGAAAAGTAAAATTGATAAATATTATTAATTGCATAGATTTTTGTCCCGTTGCATAGAACAACGTTCTAACACTATGCTCAAACAATTTAATCATTTCATTAAATGAAGGATAAATCGAAAAATAAAATATTCTATAAGGAAAATACTTAAAAGGAAGCACTACTGTCATTTCCTTCCTGGTAATTCAGCAGTCTGTTTGCCCAGCAGCCTTCTACCCTCAGTCTGAGTTATCTTTGGCTTAGGTTGAGGGTAGGAGAATAAGAAATTAAGTTTTCTAAGAAGCAAGAGGTTTGACATTCAAGTTTGACTTTTTAAATTCACAGGAAAAAAATACTAATTTTGAAAGTGCTGGCTTTCCAGTGCAAGTGCGAAGCACATGAGGAAATGAGAGTCTTTCCGGACTCCATGGAGTAGGCACCGTGGAAGACTGCAGCAGAGCGGCAGCAGCTTACCTCCCCTAGAGGAGAGGTTCGAGGGAAATCACAGAAGAGAAGGAAGTTATAGGTAGGTAAGTGTTCTGAGGAGACCCAGCCTGTCTCTTCAGGGTTTCTGTTCGGGTAGTTGCATTCCAGAACGCCAAATGAAAAGAAACAACCTTTCTCTCCTGAGAGGGTCCTCAACTCCATGGGAAGGGATGCATCACCCACCAAATACACACACACACACACACACACACACACACACACACACACACACACACACAAACCTCCCTAGAAATTTCAGAGGATCTTTGTGGTTAGCAAGAATGAGTCAGGGCACAAGTTGAGTGGACACTAGGCAAGGTCACAAAGAGTGATCTGAGAGGACACACCATGTCCTATACCAGCTGCAGACACCTGTCAACCAATGCAGTGAGGACAGAGGCTCATCCTCCAAACAGGTGAGACTGACTACAGCACCGCAGCAGTGAGCCAAGACCAATGTCGACACACAGACCACATCACACAAGAGCCCTCTTCCCACCCCTTGTCACCATGATCCCCTTTAGCTCCCGTCTTCCACAGGCACCACCCCAAGTAGGAGAGGAAAGGATAATATCTGAGAATGAACAACAGTCCTGATAGGAAGTTTTTATTTTAAAAAAGACTGGGTTTTTAACTGTTTAAGTAATTAATGAAAAGAACTTACAAATTAAGCCAAAATTTTACTAAGCTGTCAAAATTAAGTCTTTTCACAATACCAAAAAGGGGACTTGTGATGGTCATAGAAAAGATATCATGTGCCTATACATATGAGCTGTGGGCTGGAGATTTAGCTCAGTGCTTCCACCACCTGCCCCGCAAACGCAAGGTCCTGAGTTCGATCCCCAGTACCAAAACAAACGAACAAATTACATATGAGTTGTGACTAAGTTGCAAGCTCATCATATACTGTGGTTTGAACAGCAGGAGCAGAACAGATGAAGCATCTACCTCCATCACCACCACCCTCCATGAAGCTCAGAGTGCATTGGAAAGTTATCCATTAAACAGTGGGTGTCCCTCAACAAACCTGACTATTCAGCAAGCTTGCCAGGTTGTTCTACCAGTTCCATGGCACTCGGAATGTGGCAGAGAGTCAAAGCAAAACTGTAAGTATGTTCTAATGTCTCATGACCTAGGGTAGTATTGGGAGCCCCCAGCTGTCAGGACACCTGTGACTCCTGTCAAGAAGTTGAAGTTTTCTTAAACTCAAAGCTTTCCTCTTTGTGCCCAGGAGGAAACAAGACCCTTCTTCTAATGAGGACAGAAGACCCACTTAGCCAGAAATCCCTTACTTCCAGAAAGGGGCATGGTATTATGGTTGAATCTATTGTTCTAAAGTCCAGATTGAGACACCAAAAGCAGAACTTTGGGCAAGTCACTTGACTTCTCTGAACCCAAGATGAGAATAACACAACTATTTACTACATGGGGTGTAGATCAAATAGGTGATCAAGTGGATCTGGTGTAGACCAAACAGGTACGACTTGGGTGAGATCAAATAAGACATCACCTTGAACAGTTTCACATGTTTTGCCTGCTACTTCCATCAACATAGCCTTGGATCTGGCTAGACTTTCAATTTCTGGTACCTTAGCCCAAACCAAAGGGATGAGAATAAGAGAGGCTGTTTTAGCAAACTTCTGGTTGGTTTTTATTCACACTTGGGCCTAAGAAGCATGGCCCTACATAACCACAGATAAGCTGGAAGTCATCTGTCATGTCTGAGTACAGCATTTGAGGAGGAACAGGAGTGTTGAATCCTTGCCAGCAGAGTGGTTATAGGCAAGTCTCTTATTCTCTAGAGGCAGTGACACCTACCACAGATATAAGACTGATGAGAGCGTCCAATAATATGCCTGAAAGGGCTTTACAGTGTATAAAGCAATGGTGAAGCATAAAAGAGCATTATCATTACCCATCACTTTGTAACAGAGCCCTTTAAAGGGAAAGCATCCACATCTCTGATTTCTCTGCTTTGCTCCTGGCAAAACCTCCTACCACTCCAGGAAGACTGTGCAAATGCTAACCCAGAATTCCCTGCACGTTCCTTTAGAAAAGCAGCTAACTCTGACAGCTAAACCCACCTCACGGTGTATCATGAGATCCCCACAGCTCAGGCCCAACCTTCCTTCTGGTTTCTGCAGCACACAGCCAGCCCAGAAAAGGGGACAAGGAGAGCTTCCTGTAGCCCTAGTGCCTTCTGCTGATGGTGCATGGTGGCTAGGTGTCCCCAGGATCTGAAAAAAGACCAATAGGTAGAAGCCACAAGGAGCTGGGCTTCACATCCAAACAAGGAAGAACTCTGCAGGTGTCTGACAGCCCAAATATAGTGAAACTTCCCTTCTTGGGGTAAGACTCCTGCCCTGGTGGCTCATGAACTACTATACTCTGGAAGATCTATTTTATCATTACCCTTCCTGCTCAGCTCTTCTGGTCATAGTGTTCAAAACACCCTTCCTCATTCAGTCCAGGTTTGTTTATCACATACATTGTGCCTGTACTGTCCTAGCTTCTCAACGTAAGGGCCCAGCTATGAAGGCCTTTCTGTTCTAATGGCCAGTGCAGACTGTCTAGAAGGTGAGCAGAGAAGGCTTCTGGAAAGAGGGGCGATTTTAAGCTGAGATCTGAAAGGAGCATGCTGGGACCACGTGATCCCCAAGGGCCACTCTGGTCCTGGCCAGCCATGGATGACTGGCCTCAGGGAGAACACACCCTGCCGTCCTCTCCAGTTAGGGCTGGGACCCAGATTGTGAGCATCCACTCCAGAGAAGAGCCAACCCATTCACTGTCTTGTGCTCCAGATAAAATATTGATTAGGAAATTTAAAATTTTGAAATGATTTAGGAGGCCCAAGACAGGGACGTAATGTGCTGTGCCCAGCTGCGTTATGAGCCATCTATCTCCTGTCAGAAAGCAGCAAGAAACTGACAGAATCGATACAAACGTGTCTGAGGACTGGCTGAACTCATTTCCTTCTCCCTGGGGATGCAGGTGGACTGGGTTGTCCATAGGAGATGAGTGCTGAGGCTGGGGCCTGAATCCCATCTGCCTGGCTTGGAGACACCCTTCTGGGGCACTGCCCATCTCCACCGCCTCCACTGGCTGATGTAGATGTCTCTGCTGGCACATCTAGTCATCTACAACTTCAATTCTCGTCTGTCTCTTTATGAAGATCTAATAAGACCTCTGGCCCTTGGCCTGAAAGAAAAATAATAATAATAACAATAGCTGCATCCTATTTAGCACCTGATGTGTACTAGGCATCTTAAAATAATCATCACTGACCTTCCCAGAGCCTCAATTTCCTTATATATGAAAGGAAGATAATAACAATTTACTCACAGGGTTAATGTAATATTAAGTAAGATACATGGTGAATGCATGTAATGCCACTGAATTACTCACTTAACATGGTTAAGATAGTAAATGTCATGGTGTGTACATTTTAATTAAATAAAAATAAAACCAATAAGAAGCAACAACATTAAGGCAGATAAGCCACATGAGGTAGTACAGTGGTGGTGAACCTATGGCACGCATACCACAGCCAGATTGTTTGTCACCATTGAAAGCTCTAAGAGGTTCACCATCACTCGCATGGTACATAGAAGTTTCTCCATAAGTGGCAGCAGCTGATAAAACTGGGTACACATCATTAGTAACAGGTAATACAACCATGGCAACAAAAGTTTGAAGTAGCAGAACCAACATTTGAACACAGATCAGCCTAATGCTAAAAGCAGAGCCCTGTGGCCCCCATCATAGAAGAAAGGAGAGCAGTGCTCGTTTGCTGGGTTCTCTCACCGCTGTTCCTCTGGCTCCTGACCAGCATTCCAGGTGCAAAGCTTGTATTGCTCTGTAAGGTTAATAAATATGTCACTCCCGGGGAATGGCTTTGCTCCTTTCTCCCTCACACATGGCTCTATGCACCTGAAGCATTTATTAAGCATGCTGAGAGGTTTGAATAGAACTTTAATATTTCTAGCTAAACAGTGACGTGTGCAGCAGGCATAGAATCATTCCTTTGATCTTACCCTTGCAGGCCTACTCAGCTTAAGGCAACTGGCTAACCCCAGGAATAGTGTGACATTTCAAGATGCGAGATATTAAAGGAGCACATCAGTAAAGGACCTACTATGTCAAGAAAAAGCCCATCTGTCTGTCGGTGGTTTTCACTCAGAACATTTTTTCAAGATGAATTTATCTTCCTAAGGAAATATATGCTGCAGCCACTTTTATCCAAGGCTGTGTTGACCCCTTCACAATATAGGATATAGATTTGCTTTCTGTTTTCTCAATCTGAACCTCAAATCTTCAAATCTTAGTACAGTTTTGCTTAATCAAAATCTATCTTTTGTTCTTTCCCTTCCTGCAGCTTATCTTTTTTTTTTCCTCCATCATATCCATGCCTACAAAAAAGCTTTGTTGAGCACCTTACTACATGTCAGGCACATAGAGAGATAATTAAGACTATCTAGAAAATATAGAGTTCTTTTTTTAAATTAGATCCCCTCAAAATAAAAGACCTACTCAAAAAATGGGCAGCTGAAATGAAGACACTTCTCATAAGAAGTACAAATGGCCAATAAATACATGAAAAAATGCTCAACATTTTGGCCATTAGAGAAATAAATTAAAACAATGCTGAGAGTTCATCTGACTTCAGAAAGAAGGGTTATCATCAAGAAGTTAAACAATCACAAATGCCGGTGAGTGTGCAGGGAAAAAGGAATGTGTCTATATTGTTGGCAGAATGTAAACTAGCAAAACCATGATGGAAATTGGTATGGAGACTCCCCAAAACATTAAAACAACAAATTCCATTGGCCCAGCTAGGTATCTTCCTGAAAGAGTTAAAGAAATAATATTGCAGGGATACGTGTGTACCCGTGTTTACAGCAGCACAATTGATAATAGCTAAATCATGGAAATAACCTGTATGTCCATCAACGATAAAGTACAGTATTTACAAACAATGGAGTACTACTCTGCCATAAAGGATAAACTTGAGTCCATTTTTTTTTTAAGTGGATTCACCTTGAGACCATAATGCTAAGTGAACTAAATCAGACACACAAACCTAAATACTGCATGGTTTCTCTTATATGAGAAACTCAAAATATACATAATTCGCAAAATAAAAGACAGATATTCAGAAAAGGTTGATGGAGCCTTTGCAAAAGGGAAGGGGACCGCCGGGTGTGGTGGCACACGCCTGTAAGCCCAGCACTCCGGAGGCTCAGGCAGGAGGATCGCTGTGAGTTCGAGACCAGCCTGGGCTACGTAGTGAGTTCCAGGTCAGTCTCAACGACATAGTGAGACCCTGTCTCAAAAAAAAAACCAAAAAAAGGGCCAGGGATTTAGCTCAGTAGTTCAGCTGCCTGCCTCACAAGCACAAGGACCCACGTTCAATCTCCAGTACCAAAAAAAAAAGGAGGGGAAGGGGACCAAGAGATGAAGGGAAGGGAGAATGAGAGAAAGGAAAGGGGAGAAAAAAAGCACTACGATGTGTTGTGTACATGAACCAGCACCCCATGAGGAAGGTAATCATCAGGGACTGCAAATATATACTAATAAAAAAACTCTACACCCTCCAAGGATTTATAACAAACCCCATAGCAAACCAGGACATACAGAATTAAGACTGATTCAGGGATGTCAAAGGAGGGTCAGGCGGGCATCAGAATGTGACTTGTGAAACACGTCTTCCTTCTAATCAGGAGACCCAGTGGATGGAATTAAGGCAGAGCGGTCCAGAATGAATTCACAGGCAGAGGTGCGCAGCTAAAGAACAGGAGGCTTATTAGAAAATTGAGTGCAGCTTGGCAAAGCAGCCACATAGGGTGAAGATGGTGATGGTGGGGCTAGGGTTGGTGGCCAAACACAGCTGATGAGCTTGTTGCCAACCAGAGCTGGAGGGCCTAGCAGACTGTGATAAAGGATCTTCATAGGTTTTGTGATAATCATTAGCTGCAATTTGTTGAGCTATGGCTTTGGGTAGTTCATATATATCATTTCCTCGAACCGATTCCTACAAAGCAGATAGTGTCCCATTTTTCAGGTAATTAAATCATGGCACAAAGAGGCAGAGAATG